TAGTCTGGACGCGCTTTGTCGACAGAAGTTTTGTCGACAGTATCTGTCGACAAAACTTCTGTCGACAGAAGCTTGTAGTCTAGACGTACCCTCACAGTTTCAGGGTAGCTGCACCTGTATCCCTCCAACTGTGAAAATGCCCAGCCAGGTCTTGGGTCTCCAGACACCGCATAAGAATATAGTAATAACCATACTGGGTCTGAACAAAAGTCTAGTTAGCCCAGTATCCTGTTTTCTAATAGTGGCCAATACCAGAGGGAATGAATAGAACAAGTAATCATTAAGTGATCCATCCCGTCGCCCATTCCCAGCTTGCGGCAAACAGAGGCTAGGGACACCACCCTGGCCCTTCCTGGCTACAAGCCATTGATGGACCTATTCTCCATGAACTTATCGGCTGTGTCTAGACTGGCCAGTTTTTCCGGAAAATCAGCCGCTTTTCCGGAAAAGCTTGCCAGCTGTCTACACTGGCCGCTTGAATTTCCGCAAAAGCACTGACTTCCTACTGTAAGAAATCAGTGCTTTTTGCGGAAATACTATGCTGCTCCCATTCGGGCAAAAGTCCCTTTTGTGCAAAACTTTTGTGCAAAAGGGCCAGTGTAGACAGCGGAGATTTGTTTTGCGCAAAAGTGTGTCTAGATTGGCCACGGACGCTTTTCCGCAAAAAGTGCTTTTGTGGAAAAGCGTCCGTGCCAATCTAGCTGCTCTTTTCCGAAAATGCTTTTAACGGAAAACTTTTCCATTAAAAGCATTTCTGGAAAATCATGCCAGTCTAGACATAGCCATCTAGTTTTATACTCTTGGGCTTCACATCTTCCTGCAAGGAGTTCCATAGGTTGACCATGCATTGTGTGAAAAAATGCTGCCTTTTGTTTGTTTTAAATTTGCAGCGTATTAATTTCATTTGGTGAAATTACCCCCTATTTCTTATGCTTTGAGGAATAAATACTTCCATATTTACCCTGAAACAGTCACGATTGCATAGCCTTCTATCATACCTTCCCTTAGTTGTCTCTTTTCCAAGCTGAAAAGACCCTGTTTTATTAATCTCTCCTTATATGGAAGCCATTCCATATCCATAATCATTTTTGTTGCCCTTTACAATTCTAAATATGGTCATCCCATCTCAAAAATATGTCTGCATACAGTATTCAAGATGTGGACATACTGTGGATTTATACAGAGACAATCTGATATTTTCTATCTTATTATCTATCCCTTCCTTAATGATTACCAACATTCGGTTTCCTTTTTTAACGGTTGCTGCATACTGAGGACTTCAGAGGACTATCCACAATGACTCCAAGACCCCGTTCTTGAATGGCAACAGCCAATTTAGACCCCATCATTTTATATGTGTAGTTGGGATTATGTTTTCCAGTGTGCATTACTTTGCATTTATCAACATTGATTTCATCTGCCGTTTTGTTGCCCAGTCACCCAGTTTTGAGAGACCCATGTAACTCTTTGAAATCTGCCTGAGACTCAACTATCCTGCTTAATTTATATCCTCTGTGGTTTTTCCACCTTATTGTTTATCCTTTTTTTCAGATCATTTATGAATATGTTGAATAGGACTGGTCCCATTATAGATCTCTGGGGGATACCACTATTTACCTCTCTCCATTCTGAAAACTGACAATTTATTCTTATCCTTTGTTTTCTGTATAATATTGACTCTCACTGGGTGTTTTAAGATTGCATTGTGCTATGCCTAGCAAACCAGACTGCCTATGGCCAGCAGCACTTGTGCTTTGAATTCTCTCTGAGGGCTATGAACAGTATATTTCCAGCAGTTGCAAGTTACCACAGAGCACTTTCTATGAAAGCGCATTTATTCTTCAGATAAAAGCCTTACAGAAAAAAAAACAATAAAAACCGTAATCATATTTAACTCCTTTAAATGTGCAAGGAATCACTCATCAGCCTTATGAGGTGCTAGTCAGCCAAAGTGTTTCCAATCATTCTGCAAGCATTGAGGCCCCTGCTGGACAGAGGATCTTATCCATTTGCTGGATCAGAGAGAAGCCCCTGAGTCAGTTTAAATCCAGCTTTTTTTATATCAAAAAGCCCTTAGTCTGGTGTTTCTGGAAATATCTGTTTGAATCAGTAGATGCGAGCCTTCCAGAGGAATCTAAACCTGAGTGATTCACCTAAATTACCTCTTCCCCTTCACATTGTCCTTTGTTCTGAAGGAGCTATTGCAGCTCTTTCCACCCTCCCTTATAGAGCTCATATGATCCTTGGCCAACATTGTTACATAAACCATCCATAAAACTAATACAATCTGCTTTTCCAAAGAGACAGCATGCGGTTGCAATATCTGTCACACAATCATCTAAATTCAGACAAGGCTTACATACTGACAGACTTTTAAACAAAACTGTTTTCAATGGAGTGAAAAAAAGTCTAAGGGTATGTCTACACTACCCCGCTAGTTCGAACTAGCGGGGTAGTGTAGACATACCCTTAGACTTTTTTTCACTCCATTGAAAACAGTTTTGTTTAAAAGTCTGTCAGTATGTAAGCCTTGTCTGAATTTAGATGATTGTGTGACAGATATTGCAACCGCATGCTGTCTCTTTGGAAAAGCAGATTGTATTAGTTTTATGGATGGTTTATGTAACAATGTTGGCCAAGGATCATATGAGCTCTATAAGGGAGGGTGGAAAGAGCTGCAATAGCTCCTTCAGAACAAAGGACAATGTGAAGGGGAAGAGGTAATTTAGGTGAATCACTCAGGTTTAGATTCCTCTGGAAGGCTCGCATCTACTGATTCAAACAGATATTTCCAGAAACACCAGACTAAGGGCTTTTTGATATAAAAAAAGCTGGATTTAAACTGACTCAGGGGCTTCTCTCTGATCCAGCAAATGGATAAGATCCTCTGTCCAGCAGGGGCCTCAATGCTTGCAGAATGATTGGAAACACTTTGGCTGACTAGCACCTCATAAGGCTGATGAGTGATTCCTTGCACATTTAAAGGAGTTAAATATGATTACGGTTTTTAGGCTGCTTTCGGAAGAAGCTTTTTGTGGAAGAGATCTTTCGAAAAAACTTCTTCTGAAAGAGAGTGTCCACACACAAAAGCGCATCAAAAAAGCGATCTGCTTTTTCAAAAGAGTGCATCCTGACTGATTGGATGCCCTCTCGCATAAAAGGCCACCTGGAACCAGTTCAGGCAGGGCTTTAGGTCACCAGTTGCTTCCGAGTACTGGTGCTGGAGCCTTGCAGAGTCATGTGCTTAAAGGGACCCCCCTAGACAGACGTTTCTCTGCTTCTGCTGCATGCTTGCCTGCCTCTTTGAGGGACAGCAAAGCTCTTACAGTGCTTGCTGTGGTTGCCAAGCTTTTGTGGATGCCTCAGCTTTTTCTTGTGAGCCATGGAGCCGGAGCAGCCCCTGGGCATGCTATGGCCCCACACGGCCATGCTGCAGTTTTTGCAGCACTTTGTGCCAGCTGCCTTTCTGGTCCTGACCAAGCTGGATCCCAAGCTCATTCTGGGGAAGACGTTTTCCCCACACCCCAGGATTTGGTGCAACTCCTGGTAATAAGGGCAGGTGTGGGGTCCTGCTCCTGAGCACGAGCTGCACTCTCTAGCCCAGACATAATCCTGACACAGCTCTTTTACCTTACTCTGGACCTGTTCCAATGGTCCAGGGTGGGTGTCCACGCTCCGCCAGGGACTTGGCCATGCGCTCAAATATGTCAGCGTTTCGGTGCTTGGATCAGAGATCCTGCAAGGTGTCTCTTGCCCCACAGCTTGAGGAGGGACAGGATCTCCGCTCCAGCCCAGAAGGGTGCACACCTCTTGGTTCTCCTAGGTGGGTCCTGGGACCTCTGGGGCTCCTCCCTGCGAGGGCTAGGGGGAGTCGCAGGAGATTTGAGGCTCTGCCATGGGTGGCAGAGAGAGCTGCGCAGTGAGGTGCTGCTCTTAGGCCGGCTTCCTGCCACAAGGCTTGTCCAGGATGCTTGCAGTTTTAAGAGAGGCCAGGAGACAGGAACTATAGAGTCCTGATTACTTTGGACGGAGTGTCCACCAAGGCAACTGTGTTATTTCCTGGAGAACTCTTCTTTCAGAAAAAAAACCCTTCTCTCCATCCACACAAGCCTTTTTCCAAAAGAGCTCTTTCAGAAAAAAAGGGTTCTTCCTCATAGAAACAGGAAAACCCCCGCTGTTCTTTCAATTTACTTTCAGAAGAGTGCAATTGCAGTGTGGACATATCCTCAATGAATAGGTCTGTTTTAAGACAATTGTCTATTAAAAATAGAATTCTGATTGAAATGGGTGATGAACAGTTTTCCAAGACAACAAAAATGATTAAATGTAATGTTAAGTCTGTTAACATTAATGTCTGTCAATTTCAGCCAGAAGAAGTAGCTCTCTATTGACAATCTTCCCACTCGGACTGAATGGAGGGGAAGAGGAAAAATAAACATGTTGCCTTTCCCTCCCTGGTGAAAGGCAGAGGTTTCTACAATGCCCAGTATGCACAGAGATAGCCTTTCTGGTTCCTTTTTGCTGTGAAGGCGAGAGAGGAACCATCGTCCCAACTCAGGGTTTAGGGGCATCATTTTGACAGCTGATGCCCCTTACAGAGAGACCTAGAAGATACATCTGTAGCTATCTTACCTGTTCATTTGTGGGAGGTGCCTTGTATATGTAGGTGAGGGAGTTGAGAATATCTGAGGCACCTTTGTACAGATGACTTCCTGCAACATTGCATGGACTGTGGAGCAGACAGAAATGGTTGTTGATAAGGAGATATATGGAATGAGAAGACAACAGAAAATGGTAGTGGTTGTGGAGCAATATTTCCAGTTTTTTCTTGGGGAATCATCCACAAATCACAGCACCCCTTCATTCTAGATAACAGTTGTATTGCTAGAGATGGTGATACTTAATGTTGCCTATGCGCTTCTTTGTGTGTGTGTAAATTGAAATTTACTGTAAGAATGTAAACAGGATTTGGGAAACTACTTTTTAATTGTAATAGTTCAGTGGTATCTCCTGTGGAGGAAAAACAAGAAGCTTCTGGACGATCTCCCTCTTCACTCACCAAAAGCAGCACGAGAGAGAAAGGCTCCAGGTATTATAATTTGGATGAAATATTTTTGTATTTTAATTTGGAGTTGAAAAGCAAACTATTGATAAATAATAAGTGTTGACTATTAAAAATTAGGGACCTAATTCTCCGGTTAGGCTGAGTTCTGTTTGTGCAGAACCTAAAATAGGGCTCAAAGGTGGCCATGCCTCCATGAGGAAGAAAAGTTTAGTAGTAGACAGCTTTTTAATCTAACAGACAAAGATATAACAAGATCTTGTGATTGCCATTCATGATCATATGCATTTCTCAAATCAGAAGCTCCAGTAAGGAATGCAGAATGTGCAGTGAATAATCAATAAATATATTGACTTCTTATGAAATCTTACTAGGACATGCCCTATAGTAGTTGAACTTTGTAGTAGAGATGTCAACATGTAGATGACTACATGATTAACTGATAAGCCTAGGCTTATTGGTTGATCCTGTTGACTACACGCATCCCCCCCTTGCTGCCTCTGTACCAGAGGCAGCAAGGGGGAGGTGGGACTGGTGCCTGTGGGGAGTCAGCTTAAAAGCCGACTCCACACGAGCATTGGATCTGTCTGCTCCCCATGCGGATAGAGAGGAAGCAGCATGGAGGGTGAGTGAGGCAAGTGGAACCGATACATGTGGGGAGCTGGCTTTTGTGCCAGCTCTCATGCATGCCAGCTCTGTGGACCCACCTGCCCCCACCTTTCTGCCTCCTATGGAGTCTGGGGCGTGCAAACAGAAGCCAGTGCTGGGGGAAGCTGGCTTAAAAGCCAATTTCCCCCAGCACCGGCTCTGCAGTGCTGCTTGTCTTCCACCCCCACCCTGCTGCCTCTATCGGTGGGGTGGGGGTGGGCAGGGGAGGGTGCCACAAAGCAGCCTCTGTCTGCGGTGGGCCCCGGCTCACTACAGACAGAGGCTGCTCCTTGGCAGCAGCCCCTATCTGGGGGGGCTCCAAGCTCCCCGTGGGCAGAAGCTGCTCCAGCATCCCACTGAGCAGCTTCTGTCCATGGAGAGCCTGGGCCCACTGTGGACAAAGGCTGCTCTACATCAGCAGCTCCTGTATATGGGGGGGCCAAGCTTCCCACAGACTGAGGGTGCTATCACAGAGCAGCCTCTGTCTGTGGTGAGCTCAGAGCCCTCCATGGACAGGGGCTACTGCCACCCTGCATAGCTACCTCTGTATCAAAGACAGCAACGCTGGGTGGTGGATGGGAGCTGGTCTGTGTGGGGAGCTGGTTTTTAAATGGGCTCGCCTTGGAGATCGGCTCCTGCCTACCATCCCACACAGCTGCAAATTTAAGGTGGTTACACGACTATTCAATTACACGCTAACATCCCTTGGTTGTAGCAACTTGCTTAGTATTACTTGCTCAACGATTTCATTGTTTTTGTTTGTTTGTTTGACGTCTCAGACTTCTTTCAAGTGAAAACTAGGATCTATAGAAGTTGTTTTGTTTATAACATTACCGACATTATATGGGACCAAATTCTCTTCATTTACAAAAATGATCCAAAAACAGGCTTACATATAGGCTGTAGAAACCTCTTATTATTATGTGCTTATCTTCAGATTGGTAGTGCTTACCACTGCAGATCCAGTAGTACAAACAGTCCTTACAGGGAGGGATATGCTGATGTCATTGTAACTGGTCAGGATTATGTGAGCACAATGCCACTTGGTACCTAAACCTTCCACAACTAGTGTCCACAGATCCTGTGAAATAGACTCTTTGACTGGATTTGGAGGCATTCAGAATCAGGAGAGAACTTCCCAGGCTCCTCCCCACAAAATAGGATTTTTGGGTGTGTCCATATACAGAGCCATGCAGCTAGAATTTGACTCTGAGAGATTACCACATTCTAAATAAACATCCATTATTTTCTATTAAAGAAAAGGAAAAGGGAAAAAAGAAGAAGAAAGACCAAAAGAAGAAGAAGAGTTGCAAACAATGCTTAAAGTCCAGGAAGTAGTTCTTGAAAAGTTACCGTGGCTGCCACCATTTGACTCCATTTTACTGGATTACATTATTGATGCTTCCAAAATAATCCTACCATTAACTACAACCAAAGAACAGGTTGTGGCACTTGCACAGTGAGTACTGTACTGTGTAGGAATGGGCAATAATTTTTTCAGGGGGGGGCACTTCACAAATTTTGATATGTGCTCGTTGGCTGGCTCCAGGCCCTCTGGAGAGGGCAGGGCTTCGGGCAGAAGGGCTACAGAAAAAGACAGTGTGTGTGAGTGTGAAAGAGAGACTTTTTGTACGTGAAAGACTGACTTTGTGACACAAATTGAGCGTGCGAGGAAGTGTGTGTGTGACAGTGACTGAGTATGGGGGGGGCGCAGAGACAATACCAGATGCTCCAGAGGGAGGGAACACAACAGGTAATCCTCACATGATCCCTCCCCTGTCACCACCTCCAGTGAAACAGAGGCTAGGGACGTCATTTCTACCCATCCTGGCTAATAGCCAGGGCTCGACAAATGCACTCGTCCGCTCGCCCGTGGCGAGTAGATTTTTCCAGCTGGTGAGTGCAGAGGCGGACTGGCCCGGTGGGCTGTTGATGGGCTGGCCGAAGCCCTCACTACGGGCGGCGCGGCCCCATGCGATCCGCCGGCCGGCAGAGGAGCCCAGCGCCACTGGGAAGGGGGAAGTGCGGCGATTCTTCCCACCAGGCTGCCTGTGTGCAGCTCTGGCACGAGGAGGCGGGGCAGGACACCAGAATGCTGGCGTGACCTGGCCCCGCTGATTTTAAAGGGCTGCGGCATCTCGGCTCTGGCCGCGTGTCCCTGGGAGCTGGCTGCGGCGCACGGCACAGCCAGGGCCTGCCCCACCGGCTCCAGTCCTGTCACGGCCCCAGCCTCCCTTTGTCTCCGCGCCACCCGTTCCCCACACCTCCCCTGCACCCCGGATCCCCTGCTCTCCCTCTTCCCTGCAACTCTTTGGCTCTGTGCCGTCCTTACACCCCACACCTTGCCCCCCCATCCCTGCCCCCCAGCTCTGTGCTGCCCATTCCCTGCACTGCCTCTAGACCCCGATCCCTCTGCCTCTCCTGTTCCCTGCGTCCCATTCTCTGTGCCTCCACCGCACCCTGATACCCCTGATCCCTGCATCCTTCTGGCTCTGTGCCTCCCGTTCCCCGCGCCACCCCCATACTCCCCCACTGTTCCCTGCACCTCTCTGGCTCTGTGCTGTCCCTGCATTCCCTGTGGGTTGGGAGTGAAGGGTGCTTGCCCATAGGGAGGGGCTGGACAGGGCAGGGAAAAGGCTGCTGTGACCCAGCAGCAAGTGAAAGGGGGAGTTCACTTGAAGCACCTTTGCCTTTATGGAAAAAAACAAATGAAAATGCTATTTGATATTTATAGGGCTAAAATGCCGGGACAAAAAAAGAAAAAAAAACCATTGCAAAATGCAAATATGTGTAAAAGAAAAAAACAAAGTGGGGGGGGGGGGAAAAAATTTTTGTTTGGGGGA